CACCTTCATCTCTGAGAGGAGATGGCTCAGGTGAGTGCTGTGTCCCCACACTCAGTCCCTGACATACTCCATATTTATTACCTGTTCACTTTGTCATTCACAAAACAGTCCTTGACTCCCCACTGTGGGCCAGGTACTGCATTAAGCCCTGGGGACACAGGGACAAGTAAAATATGGCCCTTGACCTCCGGATAGCCACAGACTTGTAACAACTAACCTATACAGATCTTCACGATAGACTGACCTCTTCCTGTGTAGCATACTCTCCATACATCCTTATGAGACAGCACTGCTTGTACTCTCTCCAGGAAGAACTCAGCTCTGAAGTGAGTTGACTTCTCTGGGGCGACTTCAGTGGATGTCCCTTGGAGCTGGTGCTCCCAGATCTGGCTCCCAATGTAGCTTCCAGGCTACAATGTATCCCCAGATCTGGCTCCCAATGTAGCTTCTAGGCCCCTACCTTGCCCTGCACTGTACTGCTCCCCTCAGTAGCTGCTGGTCATGAGCCTCGGAGGGGCCGCCAGTCCCCATGCCTGTGTGGCTCCCTGTGCACTGCCTCCGCTCCTTGGTTCTGGTGGTGTTTGGCAGCTGTCCCCACACTTGGCCCAAATACTGTGTCTGCGGTCCACAAGCAGTTTAAAATCACTGTGCGTAGCAGCTGCTGAGGCCACGTGTTTAGAAAATTTGTCCATCAACTTACGAACCTTTACGTAATTGGGGCATTAACACCAGAGGGTTTATTGCATTTTGCAGTTGCAGAGGAGTTTCCCATATTCCCAGGAGTCATTTAGTCATGGAGATAGTGGTGGTGGGACTTTACTCTGGGAGGGCAGGAGTCTGGAAGGGACAATGAGGTTACACGCTCATCCCTGAGCAACCAATCAGCTGTTAAAAGTGCTCCGAATTTGGACCCCAATGTATAGTAGATGGTGCTCTGGCTCCACAGCTATCCTTTTGAAAATTATAGGCACAAACCAGTCAGGTACTGTCATTTGATGCCCATCTGTAGGTCCCTTCCTAGCTTAGTTCACCTTGACTTTCAGGGCTTGCTTCAGACATCCCATGGTAGTGGCTCACAGAGAGTCCTTTGCTCCCTCTCTTCTCCTTCCTTCTCTGTGTCTCCTACCCCCATCCCCTCCTTCTAGATAAACATCTGAGCCCTGGTTTTGCAGGGAGGTGGGGATTTGGTAAGTGTGAGTCATTGTAGCTGAACACCTATGAGTGCAGACACAGGTCTCACAGACCTGCTTGGGGATGGGATTGTGGGTGATTTTTGTGTGTGTGTAGTCCTTCTCTCTGCTCTTCTGTTTTTTCCACTGAAATCCAGACTCTGCTACAGGCATACCTCATTTTACCATGCTTCATTTTATTGTACTTCACAGATACTGCGTTGTCACACGTTGAAGGTTTGTGGCAACCCCGCGTGGAGCTAGTCTGTCAATGACGTTTTTCCAACAGCATCTGCTAACTTCATGTCTCTGTCATGTTTTGGTAATCCTCACAATATTTCAACTCTTTCATAATGCTATCACACACTTAATAAACTACAGTATAGTGTAAACATAACTTTTATATGCATTGGGAAACCAAGAAATTCATGGAACTCATTTGATTGTTATATTCAATTTACTGCAATGGTCTGGAACTAAACCTATAATATCTGCAAGATTGGCCTGTACCTTCAAACAAGGTGACCTTGGGCTTTAAGTTCCTTGAGTATAGAAGTAGGATTATAGTGCTCACCTAACACAGGTTGCTATAGCGATCTAATGAGTAGAATTCTTAAATTGCCTAAGGCAGTGGCTGACCCTTGCTAAGCAATCAACAGGGATATCACTGTTAGGCTGTGGGCTTAACTGCTCATAGGCACCATCTTGGCTTCTGGTTCTAGTCACAGTGGCTCACAGTGTTCAGTGACTTGGGGTCTCCATCAGGGCACTGTTTTTTTGGTTTTGTTGAGCTAAGATTTATGTAGCTTGAAGTTCATTATTTTAAAGTGGTTTTCAGTATCTTCAGGAGCCTTGGTGGCAAAGTAGTTAAGTGCTTAGCTGTTAACCAAAAGGTCAGTGGTTTGAGCCTACCAGCCGCTGTGGGAAAACGATGTAGCAGTCTGCTTCCATAAAGATTACAGCCTTCGAAGCCCTATGGAGCTATTTTACTTTGTCCTGTAAGGTCACTATGAGTCAGAATCAATTCAATAGCAATAGATTTGTGTGTGTGTGTGTGTGTGGTTTAGTATATTCATAGGGTTGTATAGTCATCAACACTGCCTAATGCCAGAACATCTTCATCACCCCAGGAAGAAACCCTATACCCACTGGCAATCACTCCCTATCCACCCCACCCCCATTTCCCTGACAACCACTAATCTACTTTCTGTCTCTACAGATTTGATTGGTCTGGACATTTCATATCAATGCACTCATATAAAATGCGGTCTTTTGTGACTGGCTGTCACTTAGCATAATGTTTCAAAGTTCATCCATGTTGTTGTATGTATCAGTACTTCATTCTTTTTTATGGTTGAATAATATTCCATTCTAATGGGTATACCACATTTTGTTTTTCCATTCATCAGTTAGTGGACACTTGGGTTGTTTCTGCTTTTTGGTTGATATGAATAATTCATCTGTGAACATTCCTGTACAAGTTTTTATGTGGGCATATGCTTTCCATTCTCTTGAGTGTGGAATTGTTGGGTCATATGGTAACTCTATTTTTAACTTTTTGAGCAGGTGCCAAACTGTTTTCCTTAGGACTCTGTTTTGGAAGAATCTTCATTGCTTAAATTTTGCTTTTGCATTAGCTGAAGAAAGGGGTCATTGGCAGAGGCAGGAGAAGGAGGGGATCAGCCAGCTAGCACTGAGAGCATGTGGTGCATACACATGAGCCATCAGGTCACAGCCTCCTCTGGAAAACCCAGCCTCCATCCTCACAGAGAGTTGTTAGCCCTGCCCATCTCTGCTGCCATGTACTACCCTCTCCTCCCTCCCTGCACCTCCTTTGCTGACCACATTCTTTGTAGTTTCTGCTTTAAAATGCACTACCCTGCATCCTGCATCCTGCTAGGAAGGGCCTGATTACAGAGGCCTGATGGGTCAGTCTGCACCAGAAAAGAATGCGTTTACGGCAGTTTTCCTCACACCGTCTTTGCTGACTCATCTCACCAGTGACCTAGAAATGTTCTGAGCCAAAGAATGGTGGCATCTCAGAGTCCCAGAGGAAAGAAATCTTTCAGGCAGGTGTTCACCTCAAACATGTCCACTGCTTTAGGAATAACTGGGTGAGTCTAAGGAGAGATGACTTGTCAGCTGAGTGAATGGAGGAACACTCCCTGGCCTCTCTGAGGCTCAGTTTCTTCATCTTTAAAATGGATTTAAAACTGCATATCTGATCAGGGAATTACATGAGATACTGTGGGTGAAGTTCCTAGTATATCTCTTAAGGTATTTAAGAAATGTTAATCTCTTCCCCTCTCTCTCCATCCTGAGCAGGTGGAAGCCCCTTACAGACACTGTGATGTATTTTTTAGTGCCCTTCACCCACCCCTCTCTTTTCTCTCGATATTTCCTTCTGTTTCTTTTAACCTTTTTTCCTCCTCTCTATGCTTAGCTTTACTGTGCCCCTACCCCAAACACAGCATTGGGGTACTCACAGTGTAGATGTAGGGAACTGCAAGGTCTCAAATCACCCTGTGAGCTCTCAACAAGGCAACCCAGGCCTAATCCTCTTACCGCAGATCAAATTATGCCCTAGGTCATTTTGCAGCTCAGACTTCCAAGTCTTAGTGATGGCATACACAGCCAGGCCACCTGGGTCCCTGGAGGTGATCATTGTGATCTGGTTACACCTGTCTGCCTCCCTGGGCTTTGGTTTCCTTCCCCTGGAGATCCTAGCCAGAGGGTAGAGCTTTGAGTTACATTTGGATTTGAAGTCATCTGAGCCCCATGTGGCTGTGGGAGGAAGCTTGGCTTCCACAGCACTGGCCCTGGGCCTGGCAAGTGCCCAACTCTGTGCTCAGGTTGGGGATGTGTGGAGTCAAAGGGCACACACTTGGTGAGAGTCAGATGGGTGGAGAAGACATGAAGTTGTGTGGCTGCAAATGAATGAAGGAATGAAGCTGAGGGTTTCATAATGTCTAGATGTTTATAAATCACTTTATAAATAAAAACGGAGGAGCCCTGGGGGCGCAATGGTTAAGGCATTTGACTGCTAACCAAGGGTTGGTGGTTCAAACTCACCAGCCACTCTGTGGGGGAGAGATGAGGCAGTCAGCTTCCATAAAGATTTACAGCTTTGGAAACCCTGTGGGGACAGTTCTATTCTATCTTATAGAGTCTCTTTGAATCAGGATTGACTCAGTGGCAGTGGGCTTGGTTTTTTTGGTTTATAAATTTAAAAAGACTATATGGTTAATACAGACAATTTAGAAAGCAAAAATAAATAAATAAATAAAGAGGGACCAAAGCATAACCTCTGCAGTGGATTTCTTCACAAGTGCGGATTTATTCAGAAAACAAAAAGCAAAGAAACAAACTAAAAAGTTTAGCTAAGAATCTCTAATTATGAAGCAGCAGGGACTTTATTCAGGTACCTAGTCTTCCAGACAAAAGTGGTTTCTCTGTATGTCTTTCTGATCATCCCATCTGGAAGTAGGGAGAAAGGTGCTTGGAAAAAAATAATGCTTTTCTCTTCAAGGAATCCAGTTAATGTTGGAAATTCTGTAAGGAGAGAAACTATACCAAGCCTTCTGAGTGATCCTAAGCTTTCCATAAGAATTTATTTGCACGTGCACACCCAGAAACAAGCCTTGTTCTCTGCCCAGCCTCCTCTGGTTGCCAAATTCCTTTTCCTGGGAGATGTTTTCATACCACCCTTCTGCTGATTCTGTTCCAAGTGTTCACAGTTCCAAGATTGTGTTGGGAAGTGGTCCCTCCTGGCTCAGGCAGTGTAGGCCCAGCTACTTGTGACCCCTGATTTGCCTTCTCTCTCATTTCCAGCTGTCAGGAATGACAGGAACAAGAAGAAGAAGGAGCCTTCGAAGCAGGAATGCACAGAAAGCTATGAAATGACAGCGGAGCTGGACGATCTCACAGAGACGATCCGGAAAGCTCACCAGGAAACCTTTCCCTCACTCTGCCAGCTGGGTAAATACACCACGGTAAGAGACACTTCTACCTCAGGCCACTGGAGGTGTGAAGATAGGCCCTTGTCTACATGTGCACACACATGCATACACACACACTGTACACACTCCACCCAGACTCAGCCCAGGAGTGGTGGTAAAAGATGGCCACCTCCGTCGTATGATGGTCTTGAACAGTGACTGAACAGGATGGGAGTTTCCTCTAATTCAGTCATACCTTCATGCATTCACTCAAGAAACATTAATTGAGCACCTATTATATGCCAAGCCCTGTGGGGTGCTGGCAGTTAATGCACTTGGCTGCTAATCAAAAGACTGGCAGTTTGAGTCCACCCAGAGGCATCCCAGAAGATAGTCTTGGAAATCCACTTCTGAAAAATCAGCCACTGAATACCCTATTGAGTGCAGTTCTATTCTGACACACATGAGCTTACCATGAGTTGAAATTGACTCAGTGGCAATTAGTTTTGGCAATGCCGTGCATTGGCAACATGGATGAGTAATCCAGGGCCACTGTTCTCGGGGACATGTGGTCTGGAGGAGGAGCAAGAAAAATAGTCAGGTGTTACACGGGTCATGGCAGACACCTGTACAGAGCCCAGTGGGGACCCAGAGGGAGCAAGGGGTCAGTCTTTTAAAAACACTGATCCATCTGTAAGATTCACAGAAATGATTGGAGCCATCCCCTGGGCCATGAGAAGGTATGTGTAACAAATGCCAGAGCCTGGGAAAACACAGGGTAGGTGTGACCCTGCCCAGAAAGGTGTATGGTCTCCTCTGCCTCCACCCCAGTATTCTGTAAGGAATGGCTTTAATTGAGGTTAAAAATGAAAAGAAGAGAGCAGACAAAATGAGATCAATAGGTAAGAGGCGTATATGTTGCCTGGTCTGGGATGTGCCAGAGTACCATCATGAGGTCCCTTTATTTTTTTCCCCCCTTATTCTGAATTTCTTCTGGTTTTCTTTTTTATGTATTTAATTTATAAATATATATGGAGTTCTGATGACATAGTGGATAAGGCATTTGGCTGCTAACCAGAAGGTCATAAGTTCAAACCCACCCGCCACTCTGCAGAAGGAAGATGAGGCAGTCTACTTCTGTAAAGATTTCCAGCTTCAGAAACCTAAGGGGGGTTGCTATGAGTTGGAATTGACTCAGTGGCTGTGAGTTTGGTTTGGTTTATATATGTATGTGTTGGTTTTCCACGCATATGTTTTTGTTATAGGGTGCTGTCAAGTCGATTTTTACTCATAGCAGACCCATGTGACAGATTAGAACTGCCCCATAGGGTTTCTAGGCTGTAGTCTTCATGGGAGCAGATCACCAGGTCTTTCTCCTGGGGAGCCCCTGTGTGGGTTCAAACTGCCAGCCTTTGGTTAGCAGCCAAGCATTTGCCACTTATACCACCAGGGCATATGAAGAACCTGGAATCTTGATAAAGCACAGGTTCTGACTCAGGCCTGGGATGGATCGTGAGATTCTGCATTTCTCTTGAGCTCCCAGGCAAGTCAATGCTCCAGACCCTGAACCACACTCTGGACACCAGAGTTGTACCTTGCATAGTAAGAACCAGGATGACCCATAAATGTCAAGTAGGAGAGACACTGATGCTGCTCCATTCCTCAATCTGTGAAGCTAATCCTAGCCTGCAAGGCATAGGGAGATGTTTGACTCAGTGGGTAGGGCTCTGCTGGGCTTGCAGAGCATAGTCCTAACCAAGCAGAGGTGCAGAAGCAGAGCATGGCTGGATACCTTAAGGGAGCCTTCATTTTAACCAGAGAGGTGAAACAGGCCCTCCAAGAGGAAGTGGAGGGTGGTGCCATGTACCAAGGGAAAGGACACTGGAAACAGATTGTGGTTGTAAGGTGCATTCAAGTCAGCTCCTCCTCACAGTGATCCTGTGCAGAACAAAGCACTGCCTGGTCCTGCACGCTTCTCACGGTTGTTGCCATGCTTCAGGCCGTTGTTGCAGCCACTGTGTCAGTCCGTCTCACTCAGAGTCTTCCTCTTTTTTGCTGACTTCTACATAACCGATATGATACCTTCTCCAGGGATTGCTTCCTCCTGACAACATGACCAAAGTACAGTAGGTGCACTCTCTCCATCCTCACATCTGAGGAGCATTCTGGCTGATTAGTGTGGTGCACAGATTACGTGGCTCAAATCCTGCTCTGCCATTGATGTGCCATGTGACTGTGAGAAGTAGGAGGATAAAATGAGACTGTTCAAGGAAATCTTCTATGATGAGGCCTGGACATATTTATACAGCAGTTGTGTGACAGAACTATCCCCCATCGACCTACTGGGTATGAACTGACTCCTCCAAGGATGTAGTCTCATGCCAGGTATAGCTGGTGATACAGAGAAGTAAAATGACTAATAACCAGTGCCAAAAAGCTTATCATTTATTTCTTTTAGAATTACTTATTGATTACCAACTACGTTCTAGGCACTGCATTAGGCAAGTGAGTCAGTAGGTCTTGTCCCAAGAAATGGTAAAATCAACTCAGGCTGGGGCAGTGGTAAAGGACTGAATGAAAAGATGAGAAAAAGCAGGTCCTCTGGAATGGCAGGATTGTATTGTAATGAGAATGAAGTGAAATGAAAGAAGGCTTCCAGGGTCTTAAGTGACAACTGAGGAGTTTGTATTTTAGTCTGCAAATAATAGAGAGAGGTTGACAGTTTGTGATCAGGAATCTCTATTACTATCACTTGTTATCATCATTATTAATCAACTGTACTAGGAACTCTACAAAGACTCTAGCTATATGAACTTTTTATTTCTTATGAGGACGCCATAAACTCAATTCACTGCCATTGGGTCAGATCCGACTCATAGCAACCCCTCCCTGGGTTTCCAAGGCGGTATCACTACAGAAGTAGATTGCCCAACTTTTCCTTCCGAGGAGCGGTTGGTGGATTTGAACCAGAAGGCTGGAGGCAGCCTTCTGGTCAGCAGTCAGGTGCCTTAGGCACTACGCCATCAGAGGTATTATTGCCCTCACATTACAGATGAGTAAACTGAGGCATAAAATGACTAGATAAGTTTCTCCATGGCTCACCACCAGCAAGTGGTAAAGGTAGAATTTGAACCTGAACTGTCTAACTCTAGGGTCAGCTCTTTAAACCACCGTACTACACACAGTGTATGTCAACAAGGTGGTCAACAAGGTAGAATGGGAAGAGGCAGAATGGGAAGATGGAGGCATCTACTTAGGAGGAGATGGTTGGTATCCAGATACAAAAGGATAAAACTTTAACCCCAGAAAAGACAGAATAAAGTACACTCAGAGTGGGGAGTCTCCCTGGAAGGTTTTTGAGCCAGGTCATGAGGTGAGAGACCTATGACAAAACCTGGGATCATTTGTGACTGTAAGCAGGGGTCTCCTCCCATTTTCCCCCAGTAGAGGTGTCTTAGTACAGCCTAGTCAGTCCCATGATACAGGTGGTGGGTCCCCATGCCCTGGTTCTCCTGATAACCAGGTGAAATGGTACCTCCTCTAGTTTGGAGAATGGAAAACACAGCATAGAGCCCTTGTCCCTTCCTGGAACACACCCCTTGCTTAGCTTGGATTCTGCCAGGGCCTGAGACCAAAATGCCCCTTTGGGACAGTTCTCTCACTGTAACTCAACACAGCTCCTTCCTATACCAAAAGCCCACCAGGCATTCTGTATAAGCTTCACCAGGGCCTCCTTTACCTTCTTGTGCCCCCCCACACACACACACACCCCCCAAGATTCCCTCTGGAATCTGGCAGCTTCTTTTAGATTCTTGTTTTACCTAAAATCTGATTCCACCTACTTCTGGGTCACCTGTATGTCCAGCTTTCTTAGAAGTTGCAGTGGTTGCTGACAGGGCCCTGCCCATATCCCATGACCTATAACCCTACAGGCCCCTGAGACTCTACCTGGGGGTTTTCTCTGACTGCAAGAGCAAGCTCACAGGTGGGCTCACAGGTGGGCATTGACACTCTGCAAGTAGCTCCCAACCACCGATAAATAAACCTGGTGGATAAATACCTCACCTTCCTTGCTCCTTATCTAGGGTAATTCTTAAGCATTCCCTAAACCATCTCTCACCACTACCTGTCTGTCAGTTTGTTGTACTATTGTGTTTTGCGTGTTGCTGTGATGCTGGAAGATATACCATTGGTATTTCAGATATGAGCAGGGTCATCCATGGTAGAAGGTTTCAGCTGAGCTTCCAGAATAAGACCAGGAAGAAAAACCTGGTTGTCTACTTCTGAAAATTAGCCAGTAAAAACCCTATGGATCACAACAGAATATTGTCCAGTGTAGTGCTTGGAAGATAGCCCCCTGGATAGGAACACACTCAAATTACCCAGTGTCCACAGCAATGACCACAAGCACATCACCAGTTGTGAGGATGGTGCAGGACCAGGCAGTATTTCATTCTGTTGTACATGGGATTGCCAGGAGTCGGAACTGACTCAATGGCAGCTAACAATAGCAGCAAAACCATCTCACAGAGTTCCCCCACAAGACCGAGCCCCAGTTGCCCACAGTGCTAATCATTTCTAGCGGCTTTCTCCATTTCTCTTCCGAGGCTTCTGGGAACTCCTCCTAAGTAAGCTACTTGCATTCTAATCCTGGTCTCACAGTGTATTTCTGGTGCTTAGACAGAGGGGCTTCCCAGAGGGCTTCCAGGGCCCTTCCCATACACCCCTCTTTGGATTTGAGACAGCATCAGTTCTCAACTGGTGTCTGACCTAAGTACTTTACGGGAGCTTTTTGCACCTCTCACTCAAGTAGGCAAAATAGAACTGCAAGTCCTATCTCTGGAGAGTGACCCCTAACTACTGGGCAGCCCACCGGCCACTCCTCCAACGTGCACACTGCCCATTTGCTGGATTGAGGATGTGCCGATTCCATCTCTCATCTGGCTTTTCTCATTCTTTGTTATCTAACCCAGATCTAGATACGTTTTTATTATAAGCAACTTCAAATCCTTTCTGGAAGTGGGTGGGGCATAAATAAATAACAACAGCCATAA